CATATTGGACTTTTGAGGACTTTTTCCCCTATGGAAAGGGGGCCACGTGGAAACAGAGAGAGAGACACTGGGCTGGGTTTTTTTTTTTTCCTACTCCTGAGCAGAAGCATGTGGCGGGAAGACCGACTGCAAACCCCCACTTCCCATCTCCCTGCGCCTCAAGGCCAAAGGGCAGGGGAAAGGTGAAGGAACCAGGAATAAAAGCTGAGTCTGGGAAGAAGGGAGGGGTGGGAGGAAGGTGTTTTGATTTTAAGATCTGGCTGTATGTCCTATTGTTCTACTCTGATGTTGGTAACAAATTAAAATTGTTTTGTTTTGTTTTGCTTTTTTTAATTCCTTATGATGAGTCTGTCTTTTGCCTGTGCCCTGTTTAAGTGGTGAGAAGCCCTCCCAGTCCTTATTTTGACTAGCCCTTTTTTGGTGCATCGTGGTGCTCAGTTATGCACTGGGCCTAAACCACAACACTAAGTGATCAAATATTTTGCAGACTTCTGTAGAAACTTCCAAAATTGAAAGATGAGTTTTCATGCAGAACTGATACATTTTAAACTTAATTTCTCTTTACTAATTACCTTCACTTATTTCACAACATACCACCTTCAATATTAGTTCCCAATGTTTGATACCTGCACTTTACTCTGAGCTTCTCCTCTCTTGCGTCTCCTGTTTCACAGGTGTGGCAGGTGCTTCGCTAGCTTCCTGTTTCACAGGCGTGGCAAGCGTATCTCCATTGATGCTCTCCACCCCAGTAACAGACATCAAGCTTTTCCGTTCTTTGGAATTGGATTTGTGCTCCACTTTTGTGACTCTAAACCTGAGGTAAGCAAAAGAAAGATTCAGCTGTATTTTCCAAGATTAGTTAGATCATTCTCAGTACCCTGTATATGGACAGGAACACATTTTCAGGTCCTCTGACCTAGACATGAGAGCAGACATCCACATGGACCCAGCTTCACTTCAGAGCAGTCTTCCTCCCTATTACCTACATGTACTTTTAAAACTCACTACTGCTGAATCACACTTTCTCAGGGAACTGTGTTTTAATGCAGAACCCACAGATTGCATACTACTACTTAGAAGAGTAATTTTTTAAGACAATACAATGTCTAGGCTAGGAATTAAAAATAGTAAAACAGAAAGAAGTGGTTTCTACAGCTCACACTTACTTGAGAAATATCAAATTGAGAAACAGAGGAATTTATTAGTGTGTAATCCTTGTTTCTTTTTAGCCAGTATCAATAGACCAATAGCTTTGGATTTATACCCACAGTAAATCCCCATTTATTTACACAGTTCTAAAAAACAAAACAAAACAAATATTAAATTGATTTCTTCCAGAAAGAACTTCAGTCTAATACCAACAGGATTACAAAAAACCACCACTGACGCTATAAAGAGTAGAATCAATGACAATCTGATCCAGCACAGGCCACTGTAGTGCCCGTAAGAAGAGTATACAGTAAGATGACCCAAATCTTACCTTCCCACAGAAAGAACTGTAACTTCTCCGAGACGACTTCTTCTGTGCTCTTTAGATTTGTGAGCTGGCTTTATAAGGTGCCATCGTTTGTGGCTACAACGAGTACAAACATCCTTTTCTACTACTCCTCCAACAGTATGGAAGTGATGGCCTTTGCAGCTGTGTTTGAACGGAACAGCACCAGGTGACAAAGGAGACCCTGGACTCGTTGGACTCCCAGGAGAGGTAGGAGATAAAGGGCTGTAGGAAGAAGTAAAACAGAAATTCAATGTTTACTATAAAATTTTTAAAAAGCAAAAAATAATAAAATATAACCATCAGTTATGTCTAGTGAATAGCTAGTTTTCTCAGGGACCATTTATTTGTGAGGATGTTGGGTTCTCTCCGATATCATAATTTTGCAGTTAAAAATCACTTCCATAAATTAATTCAGCTGCAGTCATGTGGCTATGGTAACTAACACAAAGAACAATGATATTTAAAAAAAAAGGCAGGCTAAAATAAAGAGAAGAGGTTACACGGACTTATACCGATGAAGACATCTAATTAGCTGATTAAATTCATATCTGGAGAAACACAAAAGTATTTCAGAATTGTTACAGTATCTCTACGAACTGTCAGAGAAAGAGTATAGTCCCACAATATCACAAAGGGGCAAAACTAAAATGTCTACCATGAAGAGAAAAGAAATCAACAGGTCATTCATCTTAAGCTTCACAAAATTAGTTTTTCAAGTACCTAAAAAGAAAAAGCAGTCCAATCACCAAAAGGCATTCATTGAGAATATCTAATCAAATCAATCTAAATTTCTTCTAAAACAGAAAACCAGATAGCATAAATAGGAAGCAGAAGATGTAATTTTTGGGACTTTAGCATCAATTTTGACACTGTCCTGCAACACATTCTCCTAAAGCAAGCTAGAGCTCTATGCATTAAAGGTGAAATTACTGTAGCACAAGGTTGCACACCTTGTTTAAAAAACAAACAAACAAACAAACAGAAAAGACATACCAAAAGTTATAATCAGTACATTACTATGAAACTGGAAAGTCGTACTAAATGTGGTTATCATGGTTCTGATGATATTCAGTGTTTTAAATAGTTCCTTGGGTAATGCAATAGAAGAATAGCTAAAATAAACTTTCAGTCACCCATAGTAACTGTAGACGACAAGATGAGAAATCAGCATGATCAGAGAAGAGCGTGTGTGTGAAAGACACGTTCACACATACATAAATCTTATTAAAATACTGGATGTACTGCAGTGAGGGCAACACAAATTTCAGTGTTTCAGTAGAAAAAATTTACAAACCCAGATTAAAAAGCAACTAGTCAGGTGATCATTCTTCAGAAAAAGAAGATGAAGATCACAAGCTGAACATGAATCATTGTGATGCTGTTGCTTAAAAAGGACACGTTTCACAGTGGAAATAACAGGGGTATAGCCTGTGAACCTCAAGTTGCACTACTCAGCATTAGTCAAGCCTCAGATGAACGTTCCACCCAGTTTCAGAAACTTTATTCCAAGAAAAATACTAACAAACTGAAGAGACCCCAAAGGAGAACAGAAGAAACAAATTAAAGAATAAAACATGCTGCAAAAGATCAGAGTTACTTGGATGTTTATTTTCAAAACAAAAATATTGACAGGCAACATTTAATGGACTCAAAGACAAAAGGGAATGCTGTGAGGGAAATAAAATCTGAAGCAAAGACAGGAACTAATGGCTTTAAGTGGCAGAAGTGTAGATTTTATTTACTATTATTACCATTACTATTTCTATTTGTAGGAAGCTTTTCACAGTGCACCAAACTTACAAAGAAATATAGGTGATTTGCCCTTATGTTAGTAAAGCTTTAGGAGTATCTGTCAGAAATACTATAAAAGAACCAGTCATTTTTCCTTTTCTCCTTACTTTTTGTATTTTAAGTCACCACTGAAACACGAGCCTAAAACCCCCAAAATAACATCACACATCCCTACACAAAGATGATTGTGTTAAAATTTAAACAAATATTTCTGCTGCACCGTAAAAGTTTAAAAGTAATTCCTATACTTGAGAAGAACTCCTTTCATAAGTTCATTTTTTTTCTTTAATAACAAAAAATAGACAGCTGTTAGAACAGGAGATAAATGGCTCCATAACTTAACTATTTGTTTTCCTAAAACTATACACTCCAACTTTTATTAGTGATGCAGTACTACTTGAACCTTCATCTTCTCTGCCTTGAATATGAACACAGGGCTACATGTGAAGGGTAATTAGAGTAGTACACATAATTTAAAAGTTCTTATGCACAAATGTAAGTACTTTTACACCAATTATACATCTGCAACTACTCAAGGGCTGTGTTATTTTCTCTACGTAATTCACTAAACAGGTGTGTAGTGAAAAAAAGTAAGAGGTCAGTCAGACAATGTATTTTACCACAATTATAAAGATGAAGTAGGAGACACAAAAAGAGAAGTCTACTTTAGGCTAGTATCCATACAAATTAAATGAGTGATGCTTCTGTTCTTTCAAGTCAGCATAGCTTTGGACTAAGCCAACTTGTAAGTAACTTCACCCTGAAATAAACAAGTATTTGCAGCCCCTATAAATCTTTAGCCCAGAAACGCAATAAATCTGTATCACACACCTAGAACACATAACCAGAAGAGCCAGTTAACTAACCTAGGGCATACATTAAAATTTAGTGACTCAGAAGACATCACAAGGAAATCAAAGTATTATCCTCTTAGCTGATCATACAAGGAAGTGATGTAGGCTCAAAAGTGCTCAGGAAATAAAAAATCCTTTCAAAGAGTAAGTATTTAGTTGCCTCAGGAAACATGCATTAAAAAGATGAGTAATTACCTTTCAGGTTCAAAGACACTGCTATCTGCTACCATGGCCTTTAACACATCAGCATTTGCTGCAATGAGAAAAAATACAACTCTTCAAAAGCGTACAGCTCTAACTTTCAAAAAAACAAACAGCAAAATTAAAGGTCCTTAAATAAATTTAATCTAAAAGAAAGATGACTGCACTATGTATAACCTCAGAAAGGCATGAGAGAAAATTATGTTAAAAAATGTTAACATAATTCCATGAGATATGCTTAACGTGAGCTACTAAAATTACGGTTTATATGGCACTCGAAGCTCTGCGCAATACAAGCCATATAATGTAGTCATCTGCACAACACCTCCAAACAAGATCTCTGAAAGTTTTAGAACATCCATTTGACCACAAGAGTATCATCACCTCACATGTATAAAGCAACTTCAGATTAAAAACAGTGGTTTAAGTAAGCCCTACAAAATGCAAATTATCAGGCAAAAACTGCCAACTTCTCACATATTCTAAAAAACATATGGGGTACCTAATCCCAGCCTCGAGATAAAACATACAAGCTAAAAGCCCTACAGTCAAGGGGCAAAAAGACTCAACCAAAACAAACACCAACCCCGCAAGAAAACCACCAACAAACCCAAAATACAGCTTTTCCAGAGGACTTAACTCAAAGCCAGTTCAATGCTTAGAACTTCAGTTTATGCAAATATAAAACTAGAAGGCTAAAGGTTCTTGTACTACACAAACATGCAGTCTCCTAAATGTTTCTTCCACTGGGCAAACACGTTCTGAACTAACCAAGCATTCCAAGGGCTCCTTAACTGTAAGTTTATTTTTTTCAGTCATTTCTTCTTCTTCTTTATCCTTTAATTTGCACACATAGCACATGAAGAAACCATGTCCAAAATTCAGTGTTAGAACTAGTCTACTGTCTCAGTTATTCACAAGCCTTTCTTCACGCAACAGCTGCAAGAATCATTTCAAGTAAAAAGTTTAATCTGGTCAAAATATAAAAATTTGACAGGGTTTTAACATTGCCATTAAGAAAGCACACTTGAGCTTTTACTTCACTGTCCTGGTTTGAGCTAAATAGAACTAATTTTCTATTTAGTGATTTTACTTTTCAGCTCAGTCTCTTCTAAGTAGCTGTACTTGCTGAAACTAATGGCATGTGTTTCCAGATAGTGTGTACAGCTACAAGTGATAAGGCTTGTATGTTATGTAAACACTGTCTCACCATGGGTGCCATATCTACACCTACAGGGAGGAACAGACTCAAAACTGACCTACTAGGTATTCCATTCCACATATATATATATAAACTCTAAAGCTGAGGGACCACGAGGGTCTCGGCCCCCTTCTCTGCCCTCTGCTCTTTTTTTTTTCTCTTGCAATGGCTGAAGTCTGAGCAGAACCCTGCTAGTTCATTTGCCTCTGATCCAGATCCGTATGTTCCTGAGTCCAGTTCCTGTATCCTGCTCCCACCTGCTGCTGGGTCCAGTCTGAGACTTCTCCAGTGCCCTGCTCCACAGAGCCTCTGGTGACGTATACATCATTGTAGGGTGGGGGGAGGATGTTACATTGGGTTTGTATATATATTTGTACATACCTGTATATATTTCATTATTTTCCTATTTACATTATTATCCTGTAGTATTAATATTATTGTTTAATTAAATCTGTTAGTTTTATTTTCCAACCCGTAAAGTCTCTCTCCCTTATTCTCTTTCTCTTCTCCTTCTGGGGAGGGGAGAGAGGTTAATAGAGAGCATCTGTCCAGGATTTAGTGGCCAGCCCAGTCCTCAACCACAACATTCACACACAAAACAAAAACATGGACAAAAAATACCTGAACACCCAAATAATTAAAACATCAAGAAATGCATGAACCAAACTAATCATACAAAATTATTTTCAGGTAAGCAAAAAAATTTCCTATTTTGTTTGAAGTTACTGCCTTCAGAAGGCAATCTCAAAGAATTAAGCATGTACAAAATGGTTATTAAATGAAAAAAGAAGAGCATACCATACTTCAGAATATCTGAAAAATATATTTGTTATAGAACACCACCACAAAGTCTCATAACTTCAATAACATAATACTATACCTTCATTTTTCATAATGTAGTTAACAATTTGTCCCACAGTGTCGCTATTCTCATGTATTGTTTCATTCATTTCTGTGCAAGGAAATAAATACAATGTCAGTATCTTTGCCTTCTGAATCAAGAACTGAGCTATTTTAAAACAAAGTAAAAACAAACAAAAAAGAAGTCAAAACAAAAACACACACACCCCCTAGAAGAAGTTACATTAAAAAAAAAGACAAGATCTATTTTCACTTTTGAGGGAAAGCTCACATAAGACTTTTTAGTCCACAAAAAAACCCATAAAAATTTATGGAGTCTACACATCAGCTCTAATAGATTTATCTAAGACTTGGATAAATTCAGTATTTTCACAAGAATACATCAAAATTCTTTCTCTAGCCAGTATTTCTAATCCTAATAGGGAGGAAAAAACCCAAACAAACAACAACAAAAAAATCATTAAACTGCTTTTAAAATAGGTATTACCGGCTTCCAGTATAAGAGAGATTCAGTTTAAGCTTTTCACCACAACTACAAGGACATTAGATTTTTTTTTTTAATTAAAAAAATTGTCTAATGACTACAAGAGCAAGGCACTTAAGAAGAAACCTCACGACTACACTTAATACCTCTGGAATCAACTGCACCCATTAACAATACTGGAAGCTTCCCCAGAATAACCTCAGAAGGCAGAGAAAGACCGAAGAGAGAAACAGAACAATTAAGAGGCACAGCTTTGCCCTTCCCTAATAATTATTATGACTGGCTTTATCAAAAAACAAAAAAAAATAATCACAGGATTGAGGCAAGTTTGATAGGTGAGACTTCTAAATTTGTCTCTAAGTAGTAAATTAGAGGCTTCTCCATCTCTGTACCCACCCTTCATCTTCATCATGATACCTGCAACTTTGCAATGCAACTTAGACACAGCTACTATGCCAAACTAAGACCTAGAAGTTGTCCCCCTTTCATTACCGCTCCCCTCGCTGTTACCATTCGGTGAACCAGCAGATCAGACAGTCCCACTCACTGCATGTACACCCCAGTCAGTCATTGCTGAAGACCAGACCGACATCAGCACTGCACCACAGGGTTCTACCCTTACCACAGAGCCACCATCATTTGCATGTATTATGAACCTACTGACAGTAATTAATTGGGAGAAAGGAAGAGGCCCAAAGTATTTACAAGCTACTTGGCCCCTGTATTTACTTAGTGAAATGCTATACTGGGTTACAATGGCCCTTCACAAGTGATAACACTTTCCTCGTTGTTTGTTTTGTTGTGTTTTTTTTCTCTCCTCGAGAGAAGATGGGAATAAGGAACCATTAGAAAAACAAGAGCACAAACAAACAAAGAGAAAAAAAACCCGAAGGTATCTTCAAGAAAACGTTATAAGCAGCACACATTACATAAAACAGAATGTAGACAGTCAGTCCAAAGGCTGTTTTATGAGAAGGGAAATGGGAATGACAGCACAACAGGAACATATTAAGACTGCTAAACATAAAACTAAGATCTTAGACTTTAAAAAGCAGCTTTTTGTCACTCCTTAGAGAGAATTACGTGTAATAACACTTTGTTGCTAACAGTGGGTGGAACGCAGAAAAGCAATCTGGTGACTCCAATTGCAGTGTATAGTTGCAAACAAATATACTGGATACTTTGATCCCTCTGTAAGCTCTTAATTTATGTTAGAGGACTTGCATAGGAAATTGGAGCACTCCTAGTTTTGATTGGCAAAGATGAAAACCCAACAGACATATAATGGTAATAAAAATATTTATCTTGATATTGTTTTGATGTCAAATATAGACAGAGACCAAATATAGGCAGAGAAATGATAAAAATCTCACAATTAATTATTCCATAGTTGCTGCAATGTATAGAAATGAGAAGTTATTTCTTAGGCTTGTTGATTACCTATTTTTTCATCTAGTTTTTCCTCTTCTACTTCTTCAGCCTCTGTTGTGCAACGATATCCCTTTTTTTTAAGGACATGACAGATAAGGATCCCCAAGAGACCCATGATGAAGAAAACAGGAACCAAAGCAAAGGCAATGTACTCTAGGTGTTCAGCCTTGCCATCATTGCCATCAGTTTTAGTTGCCTGAGTAGTTGTCTGTAAGCCGTAGCTTGACAAAAGGTGAGGAAACTCTCCATTACCTGCATAAACAAATAAACAGTTATTACTATACATTGTAAAACACTTCAAAGCATTTAGAAAATCACAAGCATGACCCAATCCCCTTAGCATCAATGTGATGTACCTTTTGTGATGACCCCAATGGGCAATGTGTACTCTACTGACTGGGAACTCACACCCATAACAGCAGATATTCCCTCTTCATAAAATGATTACAAAACATCTAACATACAAAAAAATCCATGATAGTTCTTCAATACAACAGTGATAAACAAACGATATTCTAGCCTGATAAGCTTGTAATTGGCCTCACGAGACCTCACATATTTCACAGAAGAATAACACCACCATTGCTCCTTGTTCCCTTCAGTGAGGATGGTCATAGTATTTTTGTCCTAAGTTCAACTGAACAAAATATACAATTTAACACTTTAAGACTGCAATTGTTTTACTCTACAAGAAAAAGAACATGAAAGATTAATGCACAGTCACATAACTGAGAAGGTTCAAACAGGTTCATCTTACGTACAGTTTATTTGCTTTCTAAGCATTTATAACTCATGTTTTAATACATCAAAATAAAATGGTTCTAATTTTTTATTATTTCTTTTTTGGCTAAACCATCAGGTAGCAACAGCTACAAATCACACAAAATAGTTTAATTTACTTCCCAGGCAGGAAAAAAAGCCATCAGACCAGAAAAATATTTTGATGACTATAACATCTGAGAGTCTAAGAAATACAACTCAAATAGCATACATCAAGCTCTAAAAAATACTTATAAATAAGCATCCGTTGTGTTCAAATATAAGACAGAAATAGGCAGATGCATTAGATTTTGCTGCATATTATCCATTTTAAGAATGAACTGGAAAGACCTACTATGCTATTACTAAGACATCAACAGCCACTTACTAGTCAAGTTAACGGGTAAGAGGACAAATCAGGAGGTCCAAGAAGTGAATCTCCAACTCAACTTCTTAGGTTTTCTGCTTCTCTGTGTGGCAAAAGTGGCATGCACTGTCCAAACAAATAACATCTCTTGACATTTCTCTTTAACCATGGTTAGCAATTCCCACTTCAAATCTAGAGAGCATGTGGGCCTTACCATGTGCCTAAAGGCCAATACTTCAGCCTCACCACATTGTGATTCATTACAGTTTCTCCAAATGCAAAGTTGCATTAAGAAGTCCATTTCCCAGTGCTCTGCTAGCCCACTGCTACCCCTACAGACTGTAGCCTGGAGAACAGTTTTGAACTGGATTATTGAGATGACCAGAGTTTAAGAAAAAAATGTCTCAAAAAATCTTCAGCTTTTAAGCAGTCATTTTACTGAATCAGTAGAACTTGCAGGTTGGCAAACTGCTGTGTCAAGACCCTCAGTGAGGGAACATGCAACCATCAGCAAGGATGAATACAACTAGAACAAGCTTTCCTGCAGTAACTGTACTAACACAGAGCCATAGTCTCAGAGAATGCTCCAAAAATAAGGGTGGGAGGATTAATTACATATTAAAAAAAAAGTATCATGTCCTACATAATTATTTTTAAATCAAACTTGACACAGCCACTGAAAACACACATACAATTTAAAATATAAGCTGATTCACAAAGCTGCATACAATCAACGGAAGAGAACAATTATGCAAAGTAAATGGTAAAATAGATCTCATGTTCACAGCAAGCAAGAATAAATTCTATATAAGCCTGGGCCAATCTCAAGTTCACAAGCAACTTCAGAGAGTGAGCTATACTGCATTTTCAGAAGAACAGACCATTGCTGAGCAATCACTAAATACCACCCCCACCTTCCATAAAAGCAAACCATCAGAAACTACTCAGGTTGATATCCCCAGCCTACCTAATATCACCTGTAAATGCTTGCATGGCAAGAACCATTGTTTGAGTTTCTTTGCTTTCTGATTCTTTTTCTACCCACATAAACTGTTTTATGATTTAGTTTAGTACTTCTGCTTGTAGACTGCCACCTGGAACACCAAAGAGAAAACCTCATCAGCTACACTCTAATATGCAGTCAAAAGGTGATAGCAATCTAGACAAATTCTCAAAGGACAGATGCAACCTGTATAACTTAAAAGAACTTTTTTTAAAATTATGCCAGCACTGTGCCTATACGGGTATTATCAACTAAATACCCTGTAGAATAGTTTAGTCCACTGATTGGACAGATTTAAAAAGCTTTTGAACTAGGCAGGAAACAAAGTATTTTTTCCATTTAAAAATGCATTTACAAACATAGGTACTCCAACATGCCTGCCGATATAGATAAGCCTATGTGATTTTTCTTCAGTTGTCCTTAAATACCTTAAAAAACCCTAATTTTCCCCATTAAAATTCAAAGACATACAAACAACTGTGCAAGGTATTTTATTACTAGTAAAACATTACATCAACATTTCTATACAAATACATAATTTACACAAAGTCCATAAACTGCTTAATGCTGTTCATTTTATGTTCAGAGATGTAAAAATTCACCAAAAAGCAAACCAAATGTATCTCAGAATAAATTAGTTTGCTAGACCAAATAATTGGTGCTGTGCAACCTTATAAGCAGAGCTAAGCACTTAGCTTTCATTATCAAACACCCTACACATACCAAGAAGTCTTCCCTCAAAAACCTGAGCAGTTTTAACATTATGCAAACACTAGGGTCACCTAGCTAATGATCAATATATTTTATGTCCCAAGTCACAGCTCTATCACTGATTTTATGTTCCCTGTTCCTCTTCCCCAGAGGCACATTATGCTGTTGACAGTATAACTCATTATCATGACGTATGATGTTGTTTCACAATGGTTTTGAAGACAAGTTCAGGCCATAGCAATGTCCCCTGACTCAAGTCAATTTATATAGAAATTAATTTGCTTCGGTGTTTTGCTGTCCTGTCATTTTTATATACCTGTCATTGTATATCAGACTACATAACAAAATTACTTGAAGATATGATCTAAATAAAAAGATTCAGGAGCAGTATTAAGCACGTTTAAAGTGATGCTTACACTGTAGTTCACAGATTGCATTCAGACTATTAATTCAGACACCATGTACCCCTGTTTGCTTAAAAATGAATACATGCTAGGCATTGAACTTGAATATTGCCTGCCCTTACTTAATCCTTACCTAAATAGTAAAATATACAGATAGTCAACCTCAGACAAGTCTTCTATACTGGTTCTAATCATCACTACTCTGACACAAAGATAACGTCCTTCCATCTCAGCAATGGCTCAAGAAAATTTTACAGCACCTTTAGGAAATGTGAGAGGAAATGCAAGGAATGTAAATTTAGGGATGTAAGAGGAAAAAGGTAACACAATAATGAAAAAATATTTAATCCTTCATTAATTTGCAATTTTTACATGGCCTAGACATATCTATTAACATTCTGGTTAAACTCTGTATTCCCTCCACATTAGTAAAATAATGTTTGACCATAAAGATATTCCAATACTACAGTGTCTTGCAGGCTCTGATAAGAATGAAGTTGGAGCGGACCATGTAAGCAAAACTATTGCTCTGTAACAAACTTTCTTTCCCCTTAAGGCTTTATAAACTCACAAAATAGAGAGATGAAAGCACCTGAGAGAGGTCACCCCACTCCACCCCACTGACAAAAAGCAGGGTTAACTGTACCTAGACAGCTATCTGCCAAACATGGGTAAAGGTCCTGCAAAGGCAATAGCTTGCCCTCTACACCTATCTTCTATCTCACTGCAAAAGGAGGAATTGTTCTGACCCTCCATTAGTACTTACTACCACAGTATCAGATTCTGCCTGCACTGAGTTACAGAATTACTCTTTCCTTAGTTTTAGCTGCATGTACTTGAAAAGATTTCATACTTGGCAAGATCACTAGGACCTACCAAATATGAGGCCCAGTTATCTCAGAGCTCTGCCTTTAGTATTGATCTGAATAGACAGTTCTCAAACTTTTCATAAAGCTCATGAGGAATCTCTTAAAATATTTAATATTTCTTAAAGAACAACTCAGATTCTTGAAAAATAAATCCTTTTTGTAACAAAGGGCAAACCCACTGTTGTATAAGCAATATAAAACTCATCATTAAAATAATGCAATATATTTATTTTTCTAAATCTCCTATACTAAACTTAAGCATAATCTACATCTAGCTGATTACTTCAAGCCCATTCCATTTTGTTTTGTATTATTTACAGAAAGCAACCCACAAACAATGAGGTAATCCTCTCTCTGCTCTACTGATAAAGATTCCTATTTAGTTACTCTGGATTAGGCTCATTACACCCAGGCCATTTATTTTTTACAGCATGCCTTTTAAAGGAACTTTGTTTACATTTTATGAATTTGATTGTTCTAGCAATCTACCTGCTAAAAATAAGTACATACATGTTCACTATCTACTTCTTCATAAAGTTCAAGGAGTTACACGATCGTATTTCCTGCTTTCAGGCACAAACATAAAATGTAGCTACCGATCTCATACCATACAAACTATTATTGGCCTTAATGTTATTAATATTTAAACAAATTAAATACCATCAATGTACAACCTATTTAAGTACAAGACAAATTCAGATATGGCATGTGATCTGCTCAAATATCTCAGCTAAGCATAGCTGGAAAATACACCTCAGTAGCAACATCACCTTACGCATTCCTTCCCCTCACTATTAATGTGTCTGTTCATGCATCAGTGGAAAAAGAGCAATCAATTAAGGTTCAAAATCATTTAAACAGTGGTTTGCTTAGGTAGTTTTTGGTGGTGATTTTTATTTTCACACACGTATCACTTCAGTTCAGTTCACCGTGTGGATGCTCTTTAAAGGGCATAATCACACAGAATCACAGAATCACAGAACGTTAGGGATTGGAAGGGACCTCAAAAGATCATCCAGTCCAATCCCCCTGCCGGAGCAGGAACACCTAGATGAGGTTGCACAGGAAGGCGTCCAGGCGGGTTTTGAATGTCTCCAGAGAAGGAGACTCCACAACCTCTCTGGGCAGCCT